CCCTCTCCCAAAAGTACCCCTCACAAGAAACCAGCACACTAAGAAGCCTCAGACCACTTGTCTTAATTTCTCTTTTCCTTTCACAGTGTGCTGAAGAGAGGCAGAATATAAGATGGTAACATGATAATTATTTAAAGACACTGCACAAAAAGCCCTACCTCCTTCCACCAGGGTTCTGTGACCATTTCTTACTCTGAGTTTTTGCTCTTGGAGGTTATGCCTGTACAGACATTCACTACAATTTCTCAGAGGGAAAAAACATTAGGTTCCTGAACTTTTCCAAATGCATAGTATCTGAACCATCTGAAGGCACATCCCACCTTCAGTGCTGGCCTGGCACAGGAGTGATCTTTAGCACAGTGCAAAGACTGCTGAGCTTGATTCCACCCTTTTCCTAACTCCATTAAAAATGCCCTGCCTCTCAGGACCTCAGCTCTTCAACAGACAAATGGCAGCATCGCTCTCCTTACTGGGTTTAAGGAGAAGGGGAAACCTATCAATAGAAAACGTCAAGACTGTATCATTAACAGTCATGAACAGAGTGCATTTAAAAACCAAGAAGGTTTATATTACCTGGGATAATATTACTACTAGAGTTTAAAACATTCCCTATAAATGTGATTCTTATTAGAATCAAATTTTTGTTGCATTTAAAAAAACCAACTTTTTACAGTTTACCTGAACAATATATTTTCTTTCAGCTGACAGTGTGAGCTATTTCAAAACACTCAATAAAATTCACCATCTGAAAAGCTTAAAGCCAGTCTTCTAGTGGTAGAGTAAGACCTACACATTCTCCACACAAAATGTAACTTTCAGGAGACAAGGTTTTTTTTTCCTGGTATTGGGAAGAAGTGTTTTTATAGTTCTTCTGGTGCCAAAGAAAATTAATGAACTCCTGCAGAGAAGTGTGAGGATATGGGTCATTTTTGAGGTGATTAAAAAAACATTTTATTACCTATTGTTTTACACTAGATGCTGTTAACTTTTACCCCATGCCACAGAAGTTGACAAGGCAGAAGAAAACTCTGTTTTGCTGAGTACAGTATGTATTTTTTGCCACTAAGAAATACCAAAGATATGAAACCCACATATGCCCATTTCAAAAGAAACTGTTTAAATATTCTCTGTATTCTGCCATAAACCAGGTTACAGAAGTGAGCTATAACCAGCAAAAATGTACAGGACTGACCAATTCTTTTTATTCTTTAGTTGTGCTCCTGAGAGTGAGGAGAGATTTCACATGTCAAGGTTTGTTATAACTATTTCAAGCCTTTCTAGGAGTTGAGGAATACTTTCAAATTTTGAAACAAATAAATAGAATCTAAGGCTCTACGTTTGGATCCTGTCTGCTTCAGTGCCGGGGGGAAAAGACGAAGTTTTGAGCAAATTTTACAGTGTTAGCAAAAAAAGCTATTAAACACAATAATAGCTTTTTAAAATTTATGATACAAATCAAATCATTGATATTTCAATTTCACAATCTGTCTCCTGCCCCCATTTCTGTCCTTTTAATCTCTTGTCAAAGCCAGTTCTGGCTGTCAAGGCAAGACAAATTTGTAACTTTGGACAAGATAGGCATCAAAAAAACCAGTTCTTTTTACAATTCTTGACTTGGTATTAACATTAAGAAAATTTCCAGGAGAGAGCGGAGATGCAGAAAAACAAAAAGCCCATAGCTTTAAAGTATTGTACAAGATAAAACCAGATTGGTTCCAGTGAAAACTTCAGCAGCACAAAGAGCTTTCACATTTCGCTACACGTGGTTATAAAACACACAAGTCAAAATATTTGTTATTGGAATAGCCGAAGGCAATATCTTTGTTAATGCAATAAGGAAGTTATCCCCCTGGTGTCCTCTGACACTAAAATTTTCTGTCATGCTGAACTGCCAAGTTTTTTTAATAGTTTACCTTTCTTCACAGTTTCCTTCTGCCATCCTATGTCAGATAAATCATTAGCATCATTAAGAAAAGCACTCAATTCATATTGCTTTAAGCACTACCCATCTGACGACAGAGCTACAGTTTTAATGATCTGCTTCAGAAGAACAGCAGAAGAATATTTTTGAAGGCAAAATATGCTTTTTTCTCCATCTCTCACTAGCCAAGGGATTCTTGATTTTTTTTTTCTAATAAATTTATTAAAGTGTTTCAGATGAGAAATTTTACTACAGACACAACAGAAACAAAGAAGTTTGACTGTGGCCTGTGCAGCTCAAAGAAACAGAGATGAGCAACAGTTTCTAGACTATCTGATTTCTATAGTATCAGCCTACACTGAAGATTCCCAATAATAAGAAGTTTGCTTAGATGGGAACTGCAGTGATCTGGTGACAACCCAAAGCACCTGTAACAAGCAAGGAGAGTTCCAACTTCAAGAAGAAGAGGTTTAACCCACAACTTCTGAAGAAGTATCTTAAATGAGATTGTGATTTTATGGCTTTCATAACATCAGGCATTTTGCTTCCTATAGCAAGAGGATGCTTTTAACATATTTAGATTATGATGTTGGTAGGACAATGATCACCATTTCCTACTGTGATTTCTAATCTATGTACTCCACTAAARCAACATGGGATTAAAATCATCTTTCTTCAGCTACTTTTCGCTTCAGGGCAGCTCAACAAATCCAGTTTTTGAATTGTCTCTAATCTAGAACTGCTTGTTGCAGTGGACTCTGCTGCAGGCATTCACAGGCTAGGAAGTGAATCATCTTTCTGTACATGTTCTTCACTGTGTTTCCCCCATCTCATTATATTCATCTGACAAAAAGACAAGTTCTAGAAAAGCTTTCTTTTATTTTTGCAGAAAGATAAGCAGGTTAGCAGACAGTACTGTAAACTGTATAGATTTAATCTGTGTTAGTTGCAACAAAAGCTCAGTTTTGGCCCAAAATAATCTTCTGCTTTGTGGGACCACCACAAGGCTGGCAGAACAATGTCTTCTTCCAAGCACTTTGTGATGCAACACCAGAGGGTGTTGCAGATCAGGTCTAAGATGCCTTGAGGAGAAAAACATAGGATTTCTTACACACTACTTGAATATTTTTTTTTGGCTGATCTGTTAATTTTTTTTTTTTTTTTTGGTAAGCATTAGCACCAACTCATAAATAATCAGAAAATAATTATGATAGAGAAATACCCCTCAAACATATATGCACGTATGAAAAGAGAAGGAGAGAGATAACACAAGGAAACTGTTTCCTTACTAGTATGCCCCATCAATAAGTGAATGGGAAAGATAGATAAAATAAAAGCTTTATCCTCATAGGGAATACTGAAGAAAAGTGGTGAAACTTCAGACATGACATAAGACCAGTGTTACACATGAAGTCCCAGAGGAAATCACTGTCCTGAAACAGGTGATCAAATTTCCTCCAGATATTGGAGAATAGACAGAGAAGTGAAAGATTAACCAGCACTTAATGATTCTGGCAGATTGCTTATTTCCCGACAATTCCAAGAACAGCCTGATGAAAATCAAAACCCTGCATGCTGCTTATTAGCTTCGTCCATTGTAAAAGAAGTGAAAATATACAGTGCACAGAACAGCTGAAGAAGTTATATAGACTAGCAAAGAAAAGTCTGATGGCAGACAGAGCATATCCTTCTGTTGATCACCCTGCCTTCCTCTGGTCTAACGTCCCTGTGGGGAAACTTTGGAGACCAAATCGTGCAAACCTTTAGGATGACTTCCACCTACCACAAACATAGGTATTTTATTTTTTAATTTAGAAGGATAAGAGAAATAACTGATCCCAAACCGGACATAGCTCTTATGTCAGTACCATACCCTCCTCATGTCTGTTATTGAGCAAAATCACTCTATGGGTGGATGTGGCACCACAAAGTAACACCCCCACCTTCCAAAGAACTGCTTTCAGAGAAGGAATGCCACAGTATCTGTATCACTGCTACATACAGAATTTCCAAAGATGCATCCTGGAAGAAGCATTTGGTGGACAGTCACACATAAATCCGGGTTATGGACAGAAACCTATAGTTTTTCCAAAGTGACTAACTACTGTAATAGCTCTTCTCATTGAAAAGACAGCCATCAGCTGCATGCATTACAAACAAAATCAAGTCTTTGTTCATGTGCTTTTGATTCACAGCTTGGTACAAAACACACATATTAATGGCTGTAGGCATTTCACACTGACACAAATGCAACCCAGTCATGAAGGAAGAAGGGAAGTCTTACCCCTGCTTGGCTCATACAATGTTGATGTGCCAGCCAAGAAAAGCAAGAAATCAATTCTGCTGGAATGACATGCCCTCCAGAAGCATCATATTTATTTTTAGGCAGAGGACACAAGACTGCCTTTTAAAGAAGTCAGCAATAAATAAGCATGGAAGGGATGGATCAACAGAAAGAACCCTTTCAGATTGACTGTGGGGTGCAAATTACGGAGGAGACTGAATGCTCTGCATTTTCATTTCTCTACTCAAGTCTCCTAAGTCTTTTTCCTCAGCATGCTTTGTACCTGAAATGAAGTGAATGCACATTCTACTTTCTACTTTACCTAAACTCAGCTCAACTGAAGGCTCGTTTCATTTCAACTCACAGTCAAGGCTGCAGGAAAATAAATAACCTGGTCCTGGAGAATCTCCAAACTGCCTAGCTCCCCAAACCATTTCTTGAAGGTTTTCTTACGTACACATTGCAGACACCATTTTGAGAATATTTTGACAGTATTATTTGAGAACTAAATAATATGATGGAATTAAAAGAAGAAAAACCACTCCAGTGGAAAACGGAAGTTTTCTGGTATGTGGAAAGATCACTGAGCAACAAGGGCTTGCACAGGAAAGAAAACCATACAGTAACATTAAAGATAAAAGTAGAATATGTGACTTTCCCCATCAATCAAATCTGCTCCCTAAAAGGAAGATAAATTTCTTCGTTACTGAACAAAAAAGAAACACATACCCTTCAGTAGCCATGCAGATTCTGCTGAAGTTTCTGTAAGAATAGCTTTTTAATGGAAAAAGTTACCTGGATTTTTGTAGATGCTAAGCACATCCTTGAAATAATGAGGTAAGAATCTTTCTAGTAAAAGCAGCACATCCTCCAACTCCTCCAGAATGCCCACAAGCAGAAAATTTTCATTAACGTTCAGCTTTGCTCTTTCAAGGGCCCATTCACCAGGCTCCCTGTATGAAATTGATGGAAGAAGACAGATGGAGGAGGGAAAAAGGAAAGTTTAAACATGGATTTCCTGCTCAAATTCAAGCCAAGAACACGAGTGAATAAAAAAAAATCAGTGCTATACTTACAACAGAACAAAATAGACCCCCCACCAAAGCTGAGTAGCTTACTGAGCTTTTCCATACAACATCTAGAATTGGTTTGGCATGTAAAAACAAGATCACATTAAAAAGAGGCTAATCACTGTGTGAATGTGTTCCATTCTGAAGACATCTTTTGCCAACTTGTTTATATGCTCAAACTTGTGTACTTTGGTATTTCAACTTGGAAGCACAACCCTTCTGATGGGAGGAATGACTGCCCTGGGTGTTAGAAGCTGCTAAGGGGTGGTGGTATCCCTGAATCACATCACAAAAACTGTTGGAACCAACCACTGCCTGTTGTTACTCAGTGAATCTTACACAGGACACTATTGTTTCCCACTTTGTCCTTCATTTTAACTTCTGCCCAAGTGTCCCTGAGCTTCCCTTTCCCTGTCATTACACCTGATTGCCCTGCAGCTTTGCTACAGGATTTGCATTTTTTTGTTGTGAGTGGTACTGGTTTTGAAGTTCAGTCTAGGGTTCTTCTATCTTTTCTCCCAGCAGGAGAAGTGGCAGGATTTTATTACATCCTTATGCTTCTCTCAGTATCCCAAAAGCGCAATGTGGTTAGACAACCGTACAAATCCTAAATCCCTTGTACTAATTCATGTTAGTTATGTCCTGGGAACAGCAGTTGTCATTCCTACTGGCAGGGGATATAATGCCAGTGTGCCAAGCTAAAGGAAATCAGTTGCCCACACTACCTGGGAGTGGCTGTAAATCACACGTCTCCCCTGATTTCATTAGGTCATTGTGGACCCTATGCAACACTGAATGTAACATTTGTCTGAACCTCTTTCTGTGACATGTGGAAAAGCTTACTACTCTCCACTCCTACTAGAGCAGACTTGCAGCAGGTTTTTCATGCTCTATCACCTTCTGTGCACTGATCCATTTCCTGGAAGAGCAAAGTGTCCTAGCAAACACTATGAGCCTCCTGTTTGCAGCTCCTTGTGGGACTAAGCAGTAGATGAAGGAAGTGCAAGGACAYGACAGGAGACAGATCCACAACAAGGTACAAAACAATGCTTCAATATGCTGCTTGGGAAACTCACAGAGATATATTGTGGAAGTATTCAGGTATGTGACTGTTGTTAATGGGATTATTCATACACAAGTTAAATGGGCAACCATAAGTGTTTGCAAATAAAACTAAAATATGTTAAGAAAAAAAGGTGYCATGAAAATGAAGTCATCAATCTGTTTTGTTTCTTATACACAATTTCACTTAAGCACAAAAGAAAAAAAAAGACAGGATTTTACAACAAAGATACTTAGAAATTAAGACAGAAGAAGTAACACATTTCCACTTGCTATTACTGCTACAAGAAGTTTGGCTTTTGAAAGAAATTTTGGAAAATGTGCAGATGTTTCATTATGGAGAAGACTAAACAATACAGAAACAAAATACCTTGAAGTTGAACAAACCTAAAAAAGAACATTGTTACCCATAATACAAAAGTATTTAAAAGCAAGAAAGTATTTAAAGTTGTTCATATATTAATGCATAAAAATTTACTATGTTATCAGTAATAGAGCAAAATGAGAATGGCATACACAGACATATTAAAAATGAGGTAGCTCAATTAAAGCAGTAGAAAGCTGCATTTTACAGTTTTAAGCATGATTCCTGTCCTTACATGGACACAGAGGCCTGTATTCTTCATATGTAGACTGGATACAAGCATCTGAGTAAGTCAAAAACATGAATTACAAAATTACAGTGAAAATAAAATGAGTACAGAGCACATATGGTCACTGCCATTCTCACTTTGCCAACCCTGAAAAGAAATCCACATAAAAATGTGCAGATTTGATGAATTATTCATGTTATAAATCAAGAATAATGCTACATTTGCAGTACCCTCTTCAAAATATATGCATGCAGTTATCACATAAAGTGCTACATTCGTTGTACTTACATTTTTCTCTTGTACTTCAAATAACGTCACCTCTTTATTGCCAGTTTCTGACAAAATGTTGGCAATAGCTATTGCTGAACAAATTGGAATACCTTGCATGTATTTACCTGCATCTTGGATGCTGTCCACAGAAATATGGTATGATGTAAAATAACCTGGGATTGGAACATTCAGGGTAGTTTTCAAGGATACATACATTAATGTCCTGTGGGGGAAGAAAGGAAAAAAACAAACCTGTTTATCTCATTCTTTTTATAGTCATATTACACATTATGCTGAGGCTGTAACAAATACCTTAAAAGTCATCTATTGGTCCATTTATCTACTTCTAAATATCAGCAGGGGAAACAAAAAGTCCTTTTGTTATAGAATGCAGAAAGCACTTTTTCCCTCCTTGCTGGAAACCCCACAATTATTATACTGGGATTACCGTATGATTCAAAGTGGGGCACATAAATCAACCTTCACATTGAGTAATATTTAAAATATTCAGGAGATTATTTTTTCTTCTAAATACACCCTGAAGGAAACCTGAAGTAGCCAGAATAAATATAATTGAGACAGCAATTACTATATTTTCTCTCTCTTTAAAAAAATTCTACTTCATTCAATGATGGAAATGAGCAAATGTAAGCTGTAATTTGTACATCTTACTCAATATTAGAACATACATCACTTTTGGTTACAATTCTATAAACTTCTCAGATGTTCAGAATTGAACCTACTGTGCAGAGCCCCACTGAGAAAAGGGGTTATTAGAAAGTATTTATCATTTTTATGAAATATCGTTCATCTAATTAGAAGCTATTTATCATTTTTCAAAGACTAGGCATAGGTACTGAACCCTGAGGAATCACATTTCATTTATAGCTTTACTTCAGCACAATAATAAACATGTGGGATTGAATTCCATTATCTAATCTGATAGAGCCTTACTCTGCAAGCAGACGCACCCACTCTGGAGATACACAAGGCAAAAAATGTGTAAGACAACAAAAGCAAGGATGGAAGGATCTTATCTTCGGGGAATCGATTCTCACTGTTATTTAGATGTGTGCTTTTACAATGCAATAGGCATGATACACATCAATATCAAACCAATAACTAAGCAAATCGATATTTTACCAAGTAAATAAAATATAATGGAGAACATTTCACAAGATGTACTTGGCAGCATGAAGACATGGCAGCATCCCCTGCTCTCCCAGGGCAGTGCAGAATACAGGCCTCCAGCCATGGTATCCATATCTGAGACCTTATCAGAGAACAGCTCTTCCCACAACTTCACCTCTCTCACCTAACTTTATCAGAGCCCCATTTGGGCCTGTAAGCCTTTTAAAGTATATTTCTGATTCCTACTCTGTCTCACACTTACGTGAATGCAAATTTATAAACACATCAGAAGACCCTGGGTTAGGAAGTAAATCACATGGTGAGGAACCATTAAAGAAAACAACATAAAAATTGCCAGCTGGGATACAAACAATCCATTTCCCCTGCTCCCCACAGTATATTTAGGGCTTGCCTTAAATACATACCAGAAGATCTATGGGCAAGACCTGAATTTTGACATTAAAGGCTCTCAGCTGAAGCTAACCAGCCTCCCATTCTCAATGTTACGATTACTAAGAAATCTTCGTGTGGATGTATAGATGGCACAGGCAATATATCTCTCCTATCATCCCAATAGGGCTTTTAACATGAGTTACAAATTGCACTTCTTTAAAGGCTTATTGTGCTTTTACTATAGATACCACCGAAGATGTTTTCAGGGATACATATTTTTGGCTTTCGTAAGAACCTAAAGACCTGCAATGAATTAATAAATTGCCTGGATTTAAAAAACCTGAAATACTGCCCGGGCAGTACTTTAAATTATGTCCAAGCTGGCTTGCACTTGATTGATGATTAGATGGAAGGTAGATGGAACACTTATCTACGATTTAAAAATCATTACTGACACCCAACTAAGAACAATATATATTTTCTCACTCTCATACAGGGAGAAAGGGGAATGGACATTAGGTCCTAAAAAAGAAACTTACTGTTTTTTGCAAGAATTAGGAATATGGTGCATTGGAAAATATTCCCTGAGATGAATATGAATACCCAACATAAAAGCGTAACCGGGACCCAGTTGTAATTGTGAAAACAGTATTTGATTAACATGGCCAGAAAAACATCTGTACAATAAAAGCAATGTAAATTCAYGTGAAAATCCTGCCGCTTTAACAAGTGAACAGCTGAAATTAAATCAAAAGGAGCTTCATAGTAGTCCTTTTCGGGTAAACTGATGTAGGATCACTGAAACAACCAGGCTAGCTCTAATGTAATCCCACTCCTTGCTGGTGACTCAAGGTTTGAGACAAAGGCCAGGTGAGCTTTCATACAAGCCTACAATCTTTTGCCACACAAGGACATGCATTTGACCTTGCTGACATGAGAAACACTGGGTTTTCTCCRGAGTAGAAGAACCATCCCTTCCCAGGCTTTGTTTACCACCACTGCTGTGATCCATATTACAGCTGCTGGAGTCTCCTCATGCATTTGCAGCACTGCTCACTCCATGAGCTGTGAAATCAGTTTTTAACCAAAAAGTGGGTGAAAGAAAGGTCAGCCTGAGGTGTGCTAGTCATTACAAAACTTAAACACACCTACAGGAAGATGCTTTTTGGTGCTAGTGGCACTCAGGAATTTCTGTTTCTTTTTCTGAGCATGGAAAACCAGGATGAAACGACATTATTCTAGGCAGTGTTACTCTGCTATTCTAAGCAACATTAATTAAGCCACATTTCCCAGTAAGAACATGCTTTTCCAGCAGAACACAGATCTTTCAGGGCAGAAATGTTTCTATGTGAGGCAAAGATGTGCAAGGTGACAGGTGACAGCCTTGCTCATTTAAATCAGTGGAGGAACTGTGTAAAAAATTATTTTAACATAGTCTAGAAAGATACAGAAGGAAACACACAGAGCTACTCTGATCATAACCCTTTACAATAAAGAAAGAGGTGTTTTACTTTGTTCTTCAGCTGCCAGCTACAAATCATATCATTCATGTCCCACTGGGCTTCTGTCTTCTACAGGCAGTGGGAGGCCCGGGAAACAGCCCGGGGGCTCCAAGAAACAATAGAAGCTGTCTTTCTTTTAAATAGTACTATATTTTTCAATTCATGTAACCATTTTGTCTGAAAATTTAAGCTGGCAATTTCTACTTCCTTTTTCTATAAAATTGTGTTTAAATAAAAATCACAACATGCCTTAATCCTTTAATCTGTCAATGAGACAGGCTACTGATCTATCAGAATTTATCAAAGGTGTGTTATTAAAATGGTTTTTTGAGGTTAACAATAAACTTTTATTTGCCATAATGAGATCATACATGCTGTAAGAGCAAGTCAGCACTTCGTTAAAAATATTTCATAGAATCATTGAATCTTCAGGCTTGGAAGAGATCTTCAAGGTCATCTAGCTCAACAGTYAACCCAGCATCACCATAATCAACMCTAAACCATAACCCCTGGTGCCATATCCAGATGCCTCTTGAACACACCAGAGATGGTGACTCCATCACTTCCCTGGGCAACTTATTCCAATGTATAACACCTTTCAGTGAATTTTTTTTTTTAATATCTGGTCTGAATCTCCATGACACAACTTAAGGACTTTTCCTCTCATCCTTTCGTTTTCCCTTCATTAAACTGCCTTTCAGGTAGTAGTAGAGAGTGAAGGGCTAAAAAATTCCTTTGAGAATTTTAATGCCATGAGAAAAAGAGCAAACTCTCAGGTGTTCTTTTGTAGAACAATAAGCAATTTACCAAAGTTAATGTCTTTAACTTATGAGAAATACTCTACCATATACAAAAGGATGTGACTTAAGATTTGAGAATTTGATTTTTTTTTCCTCCTAATACAAAATTATAAGAGTACTGACAGAAATAATAACTTATTTTGTCCAGTAGAAGGAACATTAAAATTAAAAAAAAAAATAAAATCTTGGGCTTCAAGACATTTCCTATTTTTGGATTCTCAGTGTCTCAACCAAAAATTAGAGAAACACCACATTCTGCCATGGATGCATTAAAATTCTTAATAGCCCTAACAATTTAAAATAAAGAATCATAACTCAAGTACATACATGCCTTGCAAATAATTTCCATTCTATTTCCATCTGTTCCTCTATGGGAAACCACAAAAATATCCTTTCTCTCACAATCAAAACAAAAAATACACATCCTCTTTCTACGCTCTGCCCCTGTGGGACACCGCAACTTCTGTGAAACCAGGAGACCTTACTCACAGCCCAGGCACAGTGCGTGCTCCTTACGTCAGTCCGAAGGGTGCCCATGTGGAGGTGTGTCAGCAGCAACCTAAATAAATACTTTTCAAGTTTTCATAAGAGGAAATGAAGTAAAATGATGTGGAAAACCAGTGACTGAGCCCAGTCTACAGTGACCTCTCTCGCTCACAAGGCTGTTCTTCATACACCACTACAGTCAGCAGTGCAGTCTACTCCTCACTGTTGCCAGCTAAGGAAAATTCTTCTGCTCTCCCGAGAGCCACCAAGAATCCACTCGCAGCCTGTAAAGTGTTTTCTCACATACTTGGTGTTTGTAAAGAGGTTTAACTGACCATTACATCCTGAGGACAACATTGCATCATATGAACTAAACACAACCATACTCAAAAAATACCCCAAACACAATTCCCACCTTCTCTGGCCCTAGCTATGGAGCTCTGGGTGGCTGTAGAGTGATGGGGAAGAACATGAAAACATGATGGCTTAGCAAAGGGCCTGTGAGTGCAAATCTGAAATGAAAGAAGGAAAAGCACAACTTCCTACTTTAGAAGGCTGCAGAAAGACACTCAAAAGTCAAGATAGAGTCGGCATGAAGGTTTTTATATATAAATGCAACATGACTTACTACATATCACATAGGAGCACAAATTATTCACACAGTTTAATGAAAAATAAGATACAATGCAACATATTTTCAAACCTAATTAGAGCAAGTTTTACTTTACCCAGTGATATTTAATGTTTTTCTTCTATCTCAATCAAGTATTTGGATAATTAGACCCACATAGCAGCAGGACAACTTATTTCTTCCAAATTCTGGAGGCATTTGGTATCTGTTTGTGCATCTACTATTCCTTGTCTGGGTCTTCATGGTGGATCTCTGCTTCACTCCATGGGCTGCAGGGACA